GGGAAACGAGATATTACGTTCTGACAGGTGGAATTAAGATGTCCTGCCAGGATCACCTCGTTCCTCAATGTTCGTAGTTTTGGAGTTAAAAGGACATTCAAATTTTATTCCAGGTGAAAACGGCTCTTGCATCTCGAGAGGTGGTCATGTCAGCAGGTGCGATTGGGTCGCCTCACCTGCTCCTGCTTTCGGGCGTCGGTCCAGCCTATCACCTGAAGGAGCATGGCGTGAGTTGTAGATAATTATGTGACGTCAATACATGTACGACACCTATTATCATGCTGTTATAAAGTTTTTTTTTGGACTACAGTATTCAGTTATATTCAGTCTTGTTTTTTTTTCCTTTCACACTAATATGTAATGCCTATTCTTCATAATTGGCTAAGCAGCCTAACGAAACGAAGTCGATACAAATATAGTTCTTAATATTCTTAAAGCTACTCTTACGGTGCGTTTAAAGCAAACGAGTCATAGCGAGACAAATCAAAGGAAATCATCATGAGTCATAATTCGCCACCTCAATTTAGCATTGATATCTATGGAACTCTGAAAAGAGCGTTAACACCGGGCGAGTTGGCCTCAGCTGAGTCAGTTTCTTTCGGACTGAGGCCTGAGTCGCAGTGAGGTGGCCATGGCGTGAGACCCATGGAAATAAGAGTTCCTGATAAATTTAGTGCTAGAGCGACCTGCGTTTGATGATCCCAGTGACCACAGCCACTTAGATCGTGATGCCATGGCTTCTCTATGGAAAGAGTTGCTGCTGCAGTGACATCGGTAAAAAGTTTTTTTTTTGGTCACTGTGGTTTGTACAATTACCAAAACAATAAAAATAATTCCTAGAACATTCGATTATGTCCTTTCAGAGCTCAGATTGAGAAACAAAATATTCTTTCAATATGTCACTAACTTCTCTAGAATCTGCTGTAAGCCTCGTGTTTCTTGTTGCTGTCAGACCTGAGGTTGAATTGTGTAAATGCGTTGATCATGGGCATCATCATTTGCATTTTAATGTATATCTTTTTCGTGTTGAATGAATTTATGAAGTAGGCAAACGATTTTCTTTTTAAAAAATCACTTACCATCTTAAAAAATAATTATGATTTGTTCTGGATGACTTAGCAGTTCAGGGAATAAATGATCGAAGTTTCCAAAATCTGGCCTCTTGATGTTCAGTTCATGAATCCGTTTTCTTGTTCGATTTTTACGACTACGACGACGAACCCATGGCAAAGCAAGTACTTCAGCGAGTGAAAATAGATCCATTATCGATGAAATCAGTGAGTCACCGAGTACTAATTTGACTCGCCTAGCCTCGCGCGGTGGAAATGGAAAAAAAAACTCCACAATTTGCCTCATACAGTCTGACTCGCCTTGTGTAACGCAGCTCTAAAGAAGGCCATTAAAAAATGTTATTTTGAACTCATCGTAACTTTTTTTTTTTTTTTTTTTTTTTTTTTTTTTTTTTTTTTTTTTACATATCAGGCAACTGGTAATTTTGAATATCCAGTCGAAAAATGAAACTATTTACGGCTTTCATATCAACCGCTCAACAAAGAAAACCCCTTTGAAAACTCCTATCCTGATTTATCCATGGCACGATTCTCCCACGAACCAAACAGCAGTTCTTTAAATCCAACACAAATAAGTCTCCAATTCCAATTCTTCGCGCTTCTCTCAGATCCCCGTGGTTGTAGATCTCCCCGGGGTTGGGCAGAACCTCCAAGACCACCCTAATGTCCCGGGACTCGCTTGGACTGTCACCAAAGGATCTTCGTTCAACTACCTGACCCTCGCCAACCCCAAGCACGTCCTGGATTACGTCAAGAACAGACAAGGCCCCCTGTCCTGTGAACATTGTTGTATCTATCAACTTTTTCCGATGGCTTGATCACACGGCAAGCTTCTCTCTTTCATACTATTCGCTGAATAAACCACTCGCAAAAGATAACAATAACAGTATTTAAGTACATACATAAACAAAACAAAAAATCAACAACAATAATTAAATACATAAACAAAACAAAAAATCAACAACAATAATTAAGTAAATACATTAAAAAAAATCAACAATAACAATATTGAAGTACATACATAAACAAAACAAAAAATCAACAATAACATTAACTAAGTACATAAACAAAAAAAATCAACAATAACAATAAGCAAATGCATAACCAAAACATACCATTAAGAAAATCATCACATTTCCCTTGCCTTCTCCCTTTTAGGACCTCGCCCGTGGGCACAGAGGGCAATGCATGGCCTCCTTCCCCCGTCGGAGACCCATACTGGCCCGAGATACAGCTGGCCTTCGTCTCAGGGACCCCGGCGACAGATTTCGGCCTCGTTCTCCCGGGAACTTTTCGATTCAGGAAGGAGGTGCGGTAGGCCTAGGTTCCTGTTGGGAGATCGATTAGCTTCTGTCCATTTTGTATTGTTTGTGTATTTATCTATTTATTATTATTTTTTAGGGGGTCTTATTATTGTGACTTGTGAATAAATAAGAATGAGAATGAATATCTGTACAAAGAAGGGTAAGTTAGTATTGCAGTTTCTATCTCACACAGATACATAAACACACTAAACTGCGCCAGAGAAGTTCAAGACATTCAGAAAACCGACACAGACAAACAAATACGTGCATCTTCAATCACATAACCTACTCTAATCACATCCCCTTCATAACCACACACCCTGAAACAATAGATAAACAAGCAAATACACAAATAGTTAAAATAAAACAATAGATAAACAAGCAAATACACAAAGAGATAGAATAAAACAATAGATAAACAAGCCTACACACAAATAAATAAAATAAACCAGTCCCCCCTCCCACCCCATTAACAACCGTTCTCTCTCAAAAGCTGTACCACAATTTCTACAAATCGATCCTCGGCAAGGAAGGTTTCTCTCTCGTGCCCCTCATTAACCGGCCGAAGAGCAGAGGGTCGGTTACACTCCGGTCCCGCGATCCTCTGGCCGACCCGCTCATCGACACCAACTTCCTCGCCGACCCTGACGACGCGGCTGTTCTTGTGAGAGGTGTGTTGGAGTTTCTTTTGTTTTCTTGTGTGTGTGTGTGTGTGTGTGTGTGTGTGTGTTTGTGGTGTGTGTGTGTGTGTTTGTGTGTGGGTGTGGGTGTTGTATTTTGTATGTAAGAGACGCTTGCTTTATGTTTTTAATTTTCAAAATTTTCATTCCATTATCATTACTATTATTTTAGGTAAGAGGCATTTCTGTAATTTATGTATTGGACAGTTTTAATTATTTCCTGTCAATGTTTTTGTTTTCTTTTAATATTTATCTACAAATCCCTGTGAGAGCAATATTCCAAAGTGATTTCTGAATGCCGTTAATATTAATCATATTATCAATACCATATTTCATAAAAGGACAATGCAAAGTTATCAAATATTTTTCAAACTGTGTCAATATTCTCTATGCAACGGAACAGACACATATCTCAGTCTAATAATTACATCTTTTACTTTATTAAATCATTAAATCAAATATTTTTCAAACTGTTTATATTCTCGATACAACGGAACAGACACATATCTCAGTCTAATAATGGCATTTTTTTTTACTTTATTGAATTATGCTCTTTTTTTCTTTTTTCTTAACATCAATACCGACTTTTGACTATTTCAGGCGTGAAATTCGCGCTGGAGGTGGGGTCGGCGCCAGCACTGAGACAAGAACACGGAGCCAAATTCCACGATAAGGTAGGCGATTCCACGATTTTGTAACATATTCCAACACTTATGTTATATTTCGTGACAAAGATGAAATGGTGAAGAAATTAACTGATGATTTATTTATTTATCTATTTATATATTCATGATTTAAAAAGAAACTATCGAAACAGTAAAATAAAACACATTTTAAATGTACATTTATAATAATGATAAAGTAATAATAATAGTAATAATAACAATAATAATAAAAATAACAATACTACTACTACTACTAATAATAGTAAAAACAATAAGTATAAAAATAATTTTAATAGTAATTATAATAATAATATTAATAATAATAATAATGCTAATAATAATAACGTTTTTTTTCCTTCCAACGCCTCTCCCGAAACAGCTGTTGCCAGAATGCGCGCACAACAAACCTTTCTCAGACGCATATTGGGAATGCTACGTTCGTTACTTCACCCACACTTCCTATCACCCCGCTGGAACGTGCAAAATGGCACCCGAATCTGACCCTTATAGCGTAGTGGATCACAGACTTAGGTGAGATTCGTGCTGTTTTGATTTTTGTTTGATTTTGTTATATTTTAGTTGATTGTTCTTGCGATATGTTGACATATTTGGATTGATTTGTGTTGTGTTCTTGTTTCGTCTTGTGTGTTATTGGTATTAGGCTTAATGTCGTCATCATTATTGCTGTTATGTTCTCCACTGATTCATTATCATTCTGTTGTCACCATTACCGTCATCACCGCCTCCTTATCGTCATTACACTATCACCATCAACACCACCACGTTATCATAGTAACCACTACCTCATTATGCTCGTTTACTACAACACCGTCATCACGACCATCACAGTCACCACCTCCTCATTATTGTACATGTAACCTCATCCCCATTCTCCTAATTATCTACACTATCTATTATTCCCTCTATCTTCGCCACGAGTCAGATCGAATTTTCTCACCTTCAGCCCGCGATTTAATCCCACTATTTATTTAAACCTTTCCTCCTCTTCATCACCCCTGTCAACATCCACCCACCAGTCATCACCACTTACCACAACCACACACCCACCACCACAGTCATCAACACCTACTCATCACCGCAACCACATCACCCACCACCAGTCACCACACCACAACCACACCACCCACCACCAGTCATCAACCAACCACACCACCCACCACCACAGTCATCACCGGCCACCACCACAGTCATCAGTTACCATCACCGTCATCACCTACCACGTCATCACCACCCACGCCACCAGTCATCACGTTCACCACCCACCCACGTCATCACCTACACGCCACCCACCACCACAGTCATCACCACGTTTCCACCACGTACCACGCCACCCACCACCACAGTCATCACCACGTACCACGCCACCCACCACCACAGTCATCACCATCCACCACAACCACAGTCATCACGGCCCACCACATACTTCCCTCCCTCCCCACCAAACGCCTAAAATCCCCTCCTCTCCCTCCAGACTGCGGGGCGTGACTGGCCTCCGCGTGGTGGACGCCTCCATCATGCCCCTGGTGGTGTCCGGAAACACTAACGCAGCCGCCATCATGATCGGCGAACGGGCGGCCGATCTAGTGAAGGAAGACTGGGGCGTTCCTGTCTACGGATAAGGGCCAGGCAGGAGCTTGGGAACGAGAAGGATGCAGCGCCGAAGGATGGATATGTTTGGGATATTTGTGTCTTGAGAGTTTCGTGTGTAAAGGAGGTTAGAGAAGAGTGGATTGTCTTTGAGGGCAAGGGTTACCAGCTAGAAGGATGTAGAAGCGGATGGGTATGTTAGGATAAGGCTTTTTCACGTCCGAAGGAGGTTAAAACAGAGGGCATTGATGACTGAGTTCTTGTCTATGAGTAAGAACAAGGCATAACAACAAGGCTTTATAACTAGATGGGTTTTTCGGGATAAAGATATTTGCGTCCTTAAACCCGTAGGAAATGAGGTTAAATAGAATGCTGAGAAGACTTGAGTGTTTTTGTCAGGGGATAAAAGTCAGAACTGGCAACATAGTTATACTAATAGGCATTATTATTATTATTGATTATTATTATTATTGTTATCATTATTATAAATATTATTATTATTATTGTTATTATCGTCATCATCATCATTATTATTATTATCTCCTTTTATGAAGATATATTTCAATTTTAAGTTAGATGTTAGAGTCAAAACAGGTCTTGTATAGAAAAGACGGCCAGGGAACGTTATAACTAGTAAGAGAACCTTCATTATGGGAGATAAACGGGAAAATTCGTTAAAGGATGAATAACAATGCATAATTAACGCCCTTGTTCAAGGATTTACAAATTAACCTGGAAATAGCAAACAGAAAATTCAACACAAATAACTTGGAAATACAGATAGATAAATGTTACTCAAAAAATGACACTTGATATTGGGGTTGTGCCAAAAAATTAAGTAAAGATACATGAAGTGCATAATTTATTTCTTGGGCAGTAACAAGTTATGGTTTACGCCAAAGAAAAATCTGGCGAAAATTCCCAGTGCTTTTGATCTGTGTTGATGGGTTATAATCTTATTTCATATTTACCATTGGGCAGAAAATATGAAATTGAATTTGTTGTTCCTGGTTTGTTATTGTGGATGTAAACATGTTTGTAGATGTGTTATGTTTTCCCTTTGTTAGTTTACATTTTATTATGTGGATAGTATATTTTATGGAAGACAAGCGAACATATACGTTGTGCGTGCGTGTGCGTGTGTGTGTGTGTGTGTGTATGTGTGTGTGTGTGTGTGTGTGTGTGTGTATGTGTGTGTGTGTGTGTGTGTGTGTGTGTGTGTGTGTGTGTGTGTGTGTGTGTGTGTGTGTTGTGTGTGTGTGTGTGTGTGTGTGTGTGTGTGTGTGTGTGTGCATGCGTCTGTGTGTGTGGAAAGGTGCAGTAGATGTAGATGTGCAGGGAAAGATAAGTCAAAGAGATGTAAATTCGTGTGCTTGTTTGTATGTCATAGATGTTTGTGTATTGACAACTAGAACTGTATGGATGATATACATAGATGTTGACCACTAGATATAGATGTATGTTGATAGATATAGATATGCGTAGATGTCCAGATAGAAACAGTATTATTATTCGTAGTTGTGCGGGCGTACAGGTGATGCCAGTGCTGAAAGTAATCGTTAGCAAAGTAGAACGCATAGCATTACGTCGTTTCCATTAAAGCAAAACTTGTGAAACAACTAGGTGGAATTTTCATCATCAAACCATTATCATTTTTACATTTTAAACTGTAACTAGAAAGTATTTTGCATGGGAAACGTGTACGTGCATGCGTGTGTGTTTGTGTATGTAGACAGATGTAGATGTATGCGTAGATAGAGATATACATGTGTGTGAATGCAGATAGATGTTTGTGTATGTTGACATATAGATGTATGTATTTAGACACATTCGTAGATTTACAGATAGATAAAGGTATTTGTATGTGTGCATAGACATAGATCGATAGATGTTTTTGTATGAGTGCGTAGACTTATAGATAGATAGATAGAGGTACTTGTATGCGTGCTTAGACACAGATAGATAGATAGATAGACAAATATTTGTATGTGTGCAGGCGCACGCTGACTGTTGTTGAAAGTAATTCTTGTCAAATGACCTGAATTCTTATACTGGATGTATTTTTGTTCCTACTTAAGTAAAACATAAAACAATTGAGAAAGTTTTTGATTTAACAATTCCTTTTATTATTTTCACTTATAACTTTGGATTCTGAGAGTGAATTACGTGAATGTTGACGTTCCATGTTCCTTTCTGTATTGACCTTTTTTGTTATCTATTACTAATTGCAATGTCTTATTATTCACTACCCTTAAAACAGTAAAAGTACAAAACTGACATAAAACAATAAAATATAAAAGAAAAAAGCAAATTAGTAAACAAGGCACTGGGTCATCGAGGGTCACTCTCCGAAAAAATAACTGTCAAATTCCTCACCTCCTTTGTTAATGTAACTTCACAACCACTTAACTTCAATGGCAAGGGAGACCCTTTCCGGGGCTCCCTCACAACCCATCAGGCCCACGTCAGTTCTTACGCGAGAAAATAAAGATGTTCATTCTATTGTGAATATTGTTAAAAATCAATTCGAAATGTTAAATGAACATACTTGTAAAAATATTATTGACTTATAAAGCAAAGAAATAGCAAGTTTACGTAAAAGATACAATGTAAAGCCTATATCAATACATAAAATCTAGTATATCAAAGTTGTAAGTAGATACTATAAAGAAATATAATAACACATCAGAAATAAAGATAAATTGAGCTTCCGGGTATTACAAAGATGGAGATAATAAGATTATCAATATTCTAAAATGTAAAAATCCAAAGGGGTTTAAAGCCTATCTTGAGGTTGCCTTTTCAGGGTGAGACAGGTGCCAGTAAAGAATAAAAAACGATATACATTTATCACATAAAAATGAAATATATAGCGTGTGGCAACACTGTTTCCGGGCATCTCACGATAAAATGCTTGTTCCTCGGGCTTCGGCGAAGTATAGGCGGCCCAAGTTCATGGTGAGGAAATGAGGGAGATGCAAGGGTGATTATGGCAAATCAAAGTAATCTCTCCCCTCGTCTCCGAGGAAGATATATAGCAAAATGTCACCACGACGCGGCTACTACAGGAGTGTTGCCACCTCGTGGTCATCAGTTTCACGCAGAGAGGGAAGTATTCATATACTTGTGGGAGAATAAAGCTGAGATGAGATATCTAGTGTTTTTATACCTCCTAGAGTGAGACGACGTATTTTGCGAAGTCGTCCACGACATCTGGAAAATCTTCACTTCGTATGTTTTGGCAGTATAGAGCGCAGGAAAAACTTATTTGGATCTTACACCGTTAATTTCTAACCTTAACCAATTAACCCAGAATAGTCATCCCAAGAGTCATCGCGAGTCATCGTCATCTAAATAACTACAGACCTTGATTACGACCACCATCCGACGGTCTTTTTCGTTATTGCCATGATATGTTACATGTTAAGGGCGAAACCCTTGTCCCACCACCTTGCACACTGCCGAGCCAAGATGGAAATCATCTCAGTTTCAAATGACTTCCCTTGAGTCCAGCTGCTTTACATCGCCTCTACTACCATAAGTTCCATAAGAGAAAAGCATTTGTCATGTGATTATCATCTAGCATCACGTCACGATTACTAACCCGTTCATTATTTCGTCGCTTTTTCGAATTTTTATTTTCTGTGAATCTGAAGCTTTACATCGCCTCTATTACCCTTATGATTAGTTTGCGAAAGAAGTTCCATAAGAGAAAAGTATATTAGAATGTTTCGCCCTGTCGGTGGTAAGGTCAGATTCTTCAGGTTTAGGTTTCATTTACAAAAAGACCATCACCAGTCTTAGATATATATTAACTTTGGTGATTAGTTAACGATGAAAAAATCTCTCCCCCCCTCCCTCTCTCTCTTTCTCACTCCATGCAATCAACACACACACACACACACACACACACACACACACACACACACACACACACACATACATACGCACGCGCGCGAATAACACTTTCTTTTAATTCCAATTATTTTTGCTTTTCCTTATTGGAAGTCTACTCCCTCTACACCGCGTTTGTACATATACATGCTGGCACTTAAGAAAAATATTTTACCATATAGTGGTTTAATATCTTGTTTTTCAATTTGTTAATTATCCCAAGAAACTCCATGAAAACTGACACAGCAGACGGATGAATGTTTATGTCACGTTCAAGAAACGAAACAGAAAACGTGCCTCGGTGAAAGCAGCGGGCAAGGTCATCGTCCCAAGGTCATCATCCCGGGATAATAGAGGGCTGTCAGTTTCGGTATTTTTGTTACATTTAGATGACGTTGTCGGTACACTGTTGCGTATTCGTGAAGTGGTCTTTATTCAAGGAGGCACTGTCGGTGTTTCGATTTCATAAACTAAAGCTTATTTACTCCTCCGTACAATAAAAGAAATTTGTTATGGTTTGCAGTTTCATTAACTTAATAAAAAATAATTGGTTGTAGTATAGATATCTTTAAAGACTGACTCTTTACTGGTTTACACAGTCTTTAGTTGCTCTCTCTATTTCCTTTCTATTTTCTCAAACAAATGAAGAAAATCCTATCAACCGTGGCAGTCAGTCAACGCATTCGGTGGACAGAGTCGGGGTTACCAAAGAGCTTCAGTGCTGTACGAGGCTCGGCAGAAGTGAGAAGGCTCCAGTCAGCTCTCTTTGGTCATAGAAGGTAGAGTGAAAACTTGTATTTAAATGGCAGTGCTTTTCAGCCCAAGTGAACGAGAACTGGTGAGGGATGGGTAGGAGTGCTACCTTTGTCAAGAATTCCGCCTGTTAACGAAAGTAGTAAAATCTGGCAATGAGGAGTGAAGAAAAACACGCTGGGAGTGTTAGTGTAGAGTAACATTCTTCTCGTTAAAAGGCGACTAATAGCACTGATACCTTTCACATTCTACGTTCAGTGTAGAATCGCAGCCAAGGTCTATAGACATTGTTCGCAGCAGTTCTCTTGGGCATCAGTCTCGAGTCTTCCAAGATGGGAGGAAGAGATGCACCTGTTAGGATAGGAATGTGGGAATTACATAATGTTACAAAGTGCATCTTGTAATGTCATGAAGAAGGTACCATATTCTTTCATTTAATTTTCTCCAGTGAAATGTCAGACTGCATGTTGTGCTGAAGAACGGACAAAATCTAAAAGCAAATTTGATGCAGCTTTTCGAAGCAGCCGCTTTGTAACGCAAGTACACGTACACATATATCTAACATTAAACGCTATCTCCGCCTGCAGCACACACATAAACATACATACATATCTGTGTGTATATATATATAAATATGTATACATACACATGTGTGTATATATACATATGTGCGTGTGTTTGTTTGAAAGACTGATGTATATAGATTGGTGGATATGTAGATAAGTGTGTGGATAGGTAGGTGTAGCTTTGTGTGGTTGGATATAGCGGTAGTGTATGTGGAATGAAAGTGATATACATGGTTGATTTCTGGATATAAACATATTCTCATATATGCATGTGCGTGTGTGCGCGCGCGCGTGTGTATACATACATATATGTTTATTTACATATATATATATATGTACACACATATATTTATATTTATATGTATACAGTATATACACACACATACACACACACACACACACACACACACACACACACACACACACACACACACACATATATATATATATATATATATATATATATATATATATATATATATATATATGTGTGTGTGGTGTGTGTGTTGTGTGTGTGTGTGTGTGGGTGTGTGTATAATATATACATATATAAATGTGCATGTGTTGTTTAAATAGCTAGCGGTGAGTGTAGGTGTAAGGGTGTACAAGTAGTAACTGTTTTAAAAATGATTTTTAACTGGAACGTAGTAATTTTCTAATAAAGCAAAAAGTGAAATGTGGATATATAGATGGGTATTTCATGTGTATGGGGTGCCTTCAGAATATTCTTTGTCAAATCAGAAATTTTCCTAATAAAGTATTACATAAAATTACCCATAAAGCTGTATTCTTTAATACTGAGTATTTCGTGTATGTTACTTTCTACTTTCCATTAATATTGCTCTTAATATTCACCATCATATCACTATAATTAGATTGATGACCAACATCTCGAAGAATTTGTAGACAGTATTGAATATTTCACAATGACATTACTGTGTTGTACCTCATATCCGCAGCTGTAGAATTAAATATTTTGTTAGTTTCACTTAAGGTTTGCAATTACTGGAAAAGTGACGATGGACTGAGAGTACCAACATATCTTAGAAAAAATATTAAGCAAATAGTATAAGCTTGGCTACTTGATGACTTTGTAGTTATGAGATTTTTTGTGATGTAGATAAGATATATAATATGAAAGAAGTGAATTTTGAATGATTGATAGTAATCTAATCTGGAGATCTGACTACTGATTACCCAATTATCAATGTCATGCATTATATGTAGTATGTTATTCACAATTATATCGAGAAGTATTTATATTAAGAGAGGGCACATGGCTCGTCTCGTAGTGAAACACGTCCGTGAGACTGTACGACCTCGTAGTGAAGCCCCGTGCCACAATGCATATATCCTCATCGAGTATAACTAAAATATTAAACTCTCGTCGTCTCGCGTGTTCGCGTCCAAGTCTAAATTATTACACTTGCAGTTTGTACCTCTGTATTGCGAATGAAAGAAAAGCAATACAAGTGATTGCTCGTAGGCGATGGGTGTAAAGAGACTTATCAGAAAACCATGGTGATAAAATCTTTATCAGAATGTGTTACTTCATGTCTTGTTTATATGATTAAATAGGATCAATAATCATTACACTAAGTAACAATTGATGAGCAGTATTTCAAGCTGCCCCTTCCTGCCTTCTTCTCGCTATAACTGCACTATGCGCAACACGGCTACATCCATCATACAGCTTTAATCGAGTGGAACCGTCTCTTATCTCGCGCTTTAAAAGTGTAGCTAACATTCACTACATATACCACTAACAACACTATCCACTATCTAGTGATAATAAGATATCAGCACGTGGCTGTGTGCGTATGTCTCATGGCAGGCACATACTCACTACGTGCTCTATACTCACTGATCTAGATTATAGATTATCTCATTCTGACTGTATAGATCATGACTGTAGTGATTCGTGTGTCGTGTAGTGTGCTGTGTTGACTGTTTGACGCAATCTCCCTTCATATTTAACTTGAATCTGTCAGGCCTTATAATCTCACTTGACTTCTTGTCATCCTGCTGAGGGAGATTTCGCCTTCACGCACCCAGCGCGGCGCATCTGATAGTAGCGGCAATCCCGGAAGTGAAGTCCCTTGGCTTCTAAACTGCATGTTCTACGTCGCCACAGGCTCGCTGTAGCAATGATAGTGTTTGGTCGAAATGTGATGCTGTGCTGATCGGTCTGATATTGTGGCATCATAGAATTGTGTGATGTGATCGTCGTGCGGAATTCTTTTTTTTTCAAGATTTCCTTTCTAGGTCATCCGATCTACGATGTTATGTACGCTGGGTAATATCAATATACAGTAACACGCACAGCGGGTAAACACTAAGAGCTATATTATCTAAATGATATACTTCAATAGCGTCATTCAGCCATTATCTGAGTACATAACTATTTATATAAGTCGGCCTCACTCACTCCACTCAAGATATAATGAACATATATATGTAGCATGCCCGCCCGCCCAAGCCTAGAAAACAACACTGGACTCGAACGATGTGTGTGCTCCAAACATGCACATCATGTCGGTGGGTGCTGTGTTTGTGTACATAAATACCACCCGCCCGAGAACACATAACATAGCGAATAATATAGTCAATAATGCAGACATACATATATGAGACATTAATAATTAAATACCCTAAGACAAAAGCTACAATAATAACCAAATGAAATGATATCTTCATATATACTGAGTCATATGGTAAGAAGGTATAGTATGAGTGTATATATTATTGTATAATATATGTATTATATATATGTATATACTGTACGTATATGTATGTATGTAATATATTATATTCATATAGTATAGTAGTATATATATATATATATATATATATACGTATATATATATATATGTGTTGTGTGTGTGTTTGCTGTGTGTGTGTGTGTGTGTGTGTGTGTGTGTGTGTGAGTGTATATATATAGTATATATATATATACATATATGTATATATATATTATATATATATATATATATATATATATATAATATATATATACAATGTGTGTGCGTGTGTATGTACATATATGTATATGTATGTGGGGGGAGGGGGCTGTGGGGGTGGAAAGATTGATGTATATAGTTATGTAGACAGGAAAATGTGTGGATAGAAATAGTAGCTATGTATGCGTGGATGTGTATTACAGACAGATTATTTAGTCTTGATGGCGATAGTGTATGGATAGATTGTGATAAGCATGGTTATTGATTACTGGATATAAAGATATTCTTACATGTATAAATAAAATATATATATATAATAATACATATTTATATATGTATTTGTGTATGTATGTTAGTATGTATGTGTATTGATGCTTAGATAGCTAGCGGTATGTGTTTAAATGTGAGGATACACAAGTAGTAACTGTTTTAAAGGTGGTCTATAACAAATTAGAATTGTCTAATAAAGCAAAATATGAAATGTGGATGCATATATATATATATATATATATATATATATATATATATATATATATATTATACATATATATTATATTGTGTGTGTAGGTTGTCACTAACCTATAAAGTATTTTTGTAAAATCAGAATTTCGTTGAACATTTATAATGAATATTGTCTTTTCTTTCTAATAAAGTATAACATGGGATAAATCAGTAACCTAGAATTCCGGAAGTGAGTTACAGTAATGATTTTGCTCTTAATATTCATCATGGTGATAGCATTATGATGACAACTAAACACTTCGTTCAGTACTGAATACTTCACACTGACACTTCAGTACCGAACTCATATCCATATTTATATCATCGTCCCTGATTTTTGTGTTTGGCATTATGCTACAAAATTACTAGAAATCACCGGAGATATGAGTAGTTATGGCACAATTAAAAAAATATATTCTTATCTACTGATGACCTTATTAAGTGTAGAAAGTTTTTGTGATTGAATAGGATTGAAAACGAATTTTTGGTGGTAATTTCTATCTTCATTCCGCCGCTCCTACATGGACGATTTTGGTACCGTTGGATTCCTAGCAACTTCCCATTGCAGGGGGCTCCCCCCCCCCCAGTTTGAACAGAGAATCCTCCACGTGTTCACGGCAGGGTAGAGCGTCACACAATTATAAAGGTATTGTAACATTCCCATTGAAGCAGCTTACATTTACCAGTTCTACTTTTACCTTCTACGGTCTACGTTTAGTGTAGAATTCACAGCAACGTTTGTGGACATTAATCTCGGGTCCTGAGAGATGGAAACGCGAGTTCCACCTGCTAGGATAGGAATGTAGGAATTAAATAATACTGAGTGTACCTTGTAATTGCATGATGTACCATATTCTAAAGTTTAATTTCCTCCCGTGAAGAATCACTACATATTATGCTAAATACTAAAAAAAAAAAAAAAAAAAAAATCCAAAAGCAAATATGATACAGCTTTCCAGAACACACGCACACACACATTAACAGCTATCTACGCCTACA